ATGGAGGCAGAGATTGGAGTGATGCATCTTCAAACCGAGGAGTAGCAAGGATTGCCCACCATCACCAGAAACTAGAGATAAAGGTATGGAATGGATTCTCCCTCAGAGCCTCCAGAAGGAACTAATCCAACCAATACTTTAAACTCAGACCTAAAAAAGGTGAGAGAATAAATTTCTAGTATTTTAAGCACCTGCGTTTGTGGAAATTTGTTATGGCAGCCCTAGGACACTAATACACTCCTTTTGCCTGGTCCTTGGGTCCTTCTTAGTCTGGGTGTAGCCAATCCTTCCAAGGTTCTCTCTTACTACTCTCCTTTACAACTCCCCTTCTTCTGCATATTGACAGTCCTGTGGTCATGTGATGGTTATTTGTCCATTTTGTCTTTTCTGACATAACCTTTTTTCCTTTTCTGAAATTCACTGTGACTTCTCTGCTTGTTCAACTCCTAATTATGAAATGAAAGATGTATCCAAGTCCACAGTGATTTCTCTCCTATTCTGAATTCTTAAAACACGCATTTGACATTGAATTCTGTTTTGTTCAAAAGGTACTTGTTTTACTTTTCACATGTGTGTATGTCCTTGAGATGTTTCTGCAACATAGAAAATGTTGGATAAGTGAATGAAGTCAGAAAGTACTGGTAGAGAACACAGGTGTTATGGGCTGAATTGTCTCCTCAAAAGTCATATGCTGAAGCTCTAACCTCAGAACATGACTGTATTTGGAGCCAGGGCCATTAAAGAGGTAAGTAAGGTTAAGTAAGTTCATATGGGTAAGCTCTAATCCAGTTGGCCTGATGCCCTTTGATAAGAAGAAATTTGGATACAGAGAGACACCAGGGGTGCAAGTGTACAAGAGGGACCACCAGGGGAAGAGGCAGCGAGAGGGCAGCCATCTGCAAGCCAAGGAAAGGAGGCCTGGAGCAGACCCTTCCCTTATGGCCCTCAGGGGAAACCAACCCTGCTAGCACTTTGATCTTGGTCTTCCAGCCTCCAGAACTGTGATCAAATAAATTTCTGTTGTTTAAGCCACTTAGTCTGTGGTATTTTGTTATAGCAGCCGTACCATGCTAATACAGCAGGTGAAAGGCTAAGACTAAAAGTTTAAAAATAAATAACTAAATTCCTGCAAGGGAGAGAGAAAAGATGAACATATTCTCTACCTGATTGGATGACACTCTTTTCTCAAGTTCCAGTCATAAAATGGCAGGTTATGTGACAGAACCACTGGTAAATCCTAGCAAATTCTGGGTTTGTTATGAAAAGCAGCATCACTTTAGTATGAAATTCAAAGAGCTCTGAGAATGGAACTGGGACTTGGCCTTCACCTCTCTTCACCTTCTTCTAGAATGATGTTATTACCTAACCTATAGGTAATGACCTGATGTTCTCATGAATTAATCATTAATCTAAAATTCTTTAAGGGTCTAAATTTAGGCATTTTCTGGGATTAGTTATAAGGGTATACAGATTAGTGAATCCATTGAAGAGTTAGCTGGTGGGGATCAGGGCAATACTGGTTATTTAATTTATTTTTATTTTATATGTATATTTTTTTGCCAAGATCATATCAGTGTGTGCTTTTTTCCTTCCTCATGCTTTTGCCATCCTATAACCTCCAGTGCTCAGAGGAAAAATAATATATTAGAATTTATTCCATATTATTCAAATTAAATTTGAATCTTGAGCTGCCTTCTGGGAAGCAGTTTTTAGAGGCTCATTGACAGAATGTAGTATGTCCAGAGGGAAGCATCCAAAATGGTGAGGACTCTAAACACTGAGGCACCTGAGGGTGGTTGAAGTAACTAATGTTTGGTCAGAAATATATATACAAAGGGTTCGCTATTGGATGCAGGTATCAGCATATTCTTCATGGCTCTTGAGGGTAAGGGCTGGGCCTAATAGGTGGACCTTTCAGAATGCTGATTTTGTTTCAATATGAAAACTTCCACTGCAGAGTTTAAACTCTTAAGGACCGAAGTAATGAGGTGTAGAAGGCTGTTGAGTGCCAATGTATTTTAGTAGTAAACAGGGTTTGGAGTTGTGACTTTACCTCTTATTGGCTGTGTGTCCCAGTCTAAGTACTTAATTTACTTAGCTTTCGTATTCCCATCAAAATGAAAATAATGATTGCACCTATCTCACTTTGAATATTAGGTGAAATAATATATTTAAACTGCTGAGGAAACTGATGTTAACAGGGGTGGTTTAACATGTTAAGTCACAAATTTCATCCAGGCCTATGCCTGGTTTTGAGCTCTAAACTCTGATTTAATTATGCCACATTGTTTCCAAGTTTCCTCCCAACAAATAAAGGGGTAAAGAAGATATAAGTGGGGGCTGAGGGGAGTGCACTGAAAGGGAAAGGAGTTGGCCCCTTTCCATAGCCAGCTATGTTCCTTAAGTTAGGCCACAGAGTTGATGAAGTGACCTTATCTATGAATCTGTTTAAATACCCAAATAAGCAATTTTTTTCTCTCTTGCTTCCAGTTCTCATCCCCTCTGCTTCCTCCCTTTATCCCTCTCCAGCCCCCAGCAGGCTAGGTAGGAGGATCCTA